AATATTTCAAAGTCCTACTCATATTTTCCCATATCTAAGAAATCAAAAGAAAATCATGAGCACTACAAACTTCTACTTTAAAAAAAATCAAGGAGGGATCCCTGGGTGGTGCAGCGGTTTGGCGCCTGCCTTTGGCCCAGGGCGCGATCCTGGAGACCCGGGATCGAATCCCACATCGGGCTCCCAGTGCATGGAGCCTGCTTCTCCCTCTGCCTGTGTCTCCGCGCCTCTCTCTCTCTCTCTCTCTCTCTCTCTCTGTGACTATCATAAATAAATAAATAAATGAATGAATAAATAAATAAATAAATAAATAAATAAATAAATAAATAAATAAAAAATCAAGGACAAAAAATTTAGTACCTTACTATACTAATTGCTCTATACTTCTTTAACTGGCACCCATGTTCACCAAAGTCATCTTTACCTTTACCAAATCATATTCACTATTTGTTCTTATTTCTCATCTCATTTTTTTCATGCACTCAACAAATTTGTTGAGTATTTACTATGTGCTTAGTATTGTTCTAGAGGCAGGAGATGGATAAATTAAAAAACATTAAAAATTACTGCCTTCATGTAGGTTACACATCTCATCTGCCACTTAGCTTAAGAATGTTTAGAAAAGTAAATTTTAATTAAGATTGTTTTTTAAAATGTAGATGTCTTCCAATGATGATGAAGTTATAAAGTATCTGATAAAAGTTTGTCTGTAGATGATATTCAGAATTAACTTCTCACAAATGATATTCATATATCCCATATACACACTCATACATACTTAATGTAAAACCATAGGTGATCCTATTACAATATAATCTATCAAAATGGAAAAGGTAATAAAATCGAGTAAGGAGAGGTGTTTTGATATATAGGTATTTTGGGTGAAGGTGTTCACAAAGTGGGTTAGAGGTATAAGAGATGGATAGAAATATTTAAAAATAGAATAAGGACATGCACATGCTTTAGAGGTCAAGGTAACTTGTTTTGTTTGTTTTTTAAAAAATACATACAAGTTCAGTCTAAAACATACGGCTCTCTCTTCTTCAGTACTTAAAATGCTTTAGTCATTTTTATCTCACTTCTGAAAATAGAGGAAGACAAATGAAAGTGGGAAGGAATAAAATATAAAGGATAAAGGAACAATCCGGAGAACAGAGGAAGAAACACATGTATAATGATACAGAGGGAGAGCGAAGGGGGGCAGAGGGGAATGGAAAAGAGATAATTCATTAAATTATGTGCAACTCCAGCCAAAAGTCCTCATCATTAGCCAAAAAATTGAGGAGTGGGGAATAGTAATGAGACTGAATTAAACAGCCTAGAATGGTACCTGAAACATAGTGGGTTCTCAATGCATATAGGTTGAGTAAGAAAATACATTTTTCAATTATTTATTTATTGGAAAAATGTTCATTGAACATCTATTGTAGGCCAAGCATTGCTCTAGACAAAACATAAAAATTCTTGACTTCATGGGTTTTACATTCTAGTAAAAGGAAATAGACAAAAATCTAAAAACTGTAAGTTAATTATAAAACATGTTAGATGGTTTTTAAGTTAAGACAGTAAAATAAAACACAAAAGTTTGTAAGATGAATTTGTAATTTTTTAAGTAGGGAAATAAGGAAAGGTTTGTTAGAAGAATTTTATGAAGTGTGACAGGAGATGCTGTAGGAGATGTCAAAGTGGGACCAGATTATGGGGAAGTCACCTCTTGGTTTTATTCAATGAAATGGGCACCTTTGGAGGGTTTTGAGCAGAAACTGTGTTTAATAAGATCACTCTGGCTGCTGCATTGGGAATAAACATAAGGGGCTGGAAAAAGCAGAAGGAGGAAAATCACACATAAGGAGGCTTGTCAGTATGATAGCAGTGGAGGCAGTAAGAAGTTGTCAGATCTTGGGTATATTTTCAAAGTAGAGATGATAGAATTTGCTGACATATTGGATATGGGATGCAGGAATAAGAATAACTCTAGGATTTTGGTCTATAAATGCAGCGTGGAGCTGCCACTGCCTGAGCAGATTTTGGTGGGCTGGAAATCAGGAGTTGTGTTTTGGACATGATAAGTTTAAGATGCCATTAGGCATGTAAGTCCAGATGTGTAATAGGCGGTTGGATATGTATGTCAGGGGTTCTAGGGAGAGATCTGGGCTGAAGTTGTACATTTGTGAGTCATTAGTGATATTTAAAGTCCTGAGATTGAATGAGATCTTCAAAGATTTGTGTTGATAGGAAAGAGGAGATCTGAGGTCTCCTCTTGGGACCCTCTAGCCTTAAGACACTGAAGTGATGAGGAAAAATAAGCACGGGAGGCAGAGAAAGAACAGCCAACGAGGTAGAGGAAAAACCCCAGAGACTGTGCTGCCCTCAAAGCCAAGTTCAAACATTTGGGGTTTGTGGGACTTGTAAACTTGGAGTTTATTCATTCTTCCAACATGAGCAGTTATTTTGTCCAGGTACTGTGCTAGCCACTGCTGACACAGGGACGAGTAAGACTTCATCCCTCGCCCCCTGTCGATGAGAAAAGGTATGAACACACAGTTTCAGTGCAATGGGAAACATCTTGCAATGGAAATATGCATAGACTGCTTTTCAAGGTCAGAGGAGGGCAGCTAAGTCACATGGGTGGACCTGAGATCTTGACTTGAGAGTAGATTCTAGCTAAATGAGGAAAATGGGAACTGGAATTCCTAAGAACAATTTCCTCTCTCTCCCTTTCCCTCTCTGTCTCTCTGGGATCATTTTCTCTTGTTTTATTTAGTTGATGATAATTTTCTTCTCCGAATTTTAATGTTTGACTTCTACTTTGAATATTTGATTCCATGTGAACCATTGACACAACCGCCTTTTGGATTCTTTTATACCTATGACATGATTATTCTGACCAATATGTAGACCTGAAAACTATTTTCATGTTCTCTTTTCGACTTGGTTTGTGAAGATTTTTTTTTTATTCATAAGAGATACACAGAGAGGCAGAGACACAAGCAGACTCCTTGTGGGACTTGATCCCAGGACCCCGAGACCATGGCCTGAGCCAAAGGCAGCTGCTCAACCACTGAGCCATCCAGGTGCCCTCGACTTGGTTTTTGAAAATGCTTCCTCTTCTGAAACCCTCTTCAAGTCTTGAAGTCGTGAAGATTTTTTTTTTATTCATGGCCTGAGCCAAAGGCAGCTGCTCAACCACTGAGCCATCCAGGTGCCCTCGACTTGGTTTTTGAAAATGCTTCCTCTTCTGAAACCCTCTTCAAGTCTTGAAGTCGTGAAGATTTTTTTTTTATTCATAAGAGATACACAGAGAGGCAGAGACACAAGCAGACTCCTTGTGGGACTTGATCCCAGGACCCCGAGACCATGGCCTGAGCCAAAGGCAGCTGCTCAACCACTGAGCCATCCAGGTGCCCTCGACTTGGTTTTTGAAAATGCTTCCTCTTCTGAAACCCTCTTCAAGTCTAGCCCATTACTGTCTTTCAAACAAAAAACAGTTCCAAGTGTAAAACATCTAGATCATCTCAAGAAATATGGTGACTTTGGTGAACATGTTAAGGGACTAAATTCAAGTTTGGAAATGGAAACAATACCAGGGGAGAAAATATAAGCTTCCACGGTTTTCTTTTGTCAGATTCATTTTCTCAGGATCAATGATAAAATACTTGCCAGATCTGTACTTCAGATGTTGCATGATCCCTCAATTTTCCAGTTCGCTCAATTTTCACTTACTCTGATTTTCTTTTCCTTTTAAAAACACACTTTGCAGAGAAACCTCCCACCAATAGGTGGCGTTTGGACTCTAGAAAAATATCAACTATCTCTTGACCCAGGAAACAGTATAGTTGGAGTCACTCAATTTCCTCATTTTAATAGAACTTGCCAAGACATTATCTAATATGTGACTGTCACTTTTTTTTTATATCAGTCCGGTTAGCATCAGCGTATCTTGCAACAGAAATAAAATGAAGGGGTAAATATTCTTGTATTAACCTGTCACATCAACTTTTCTCAGTGCTCTTCCAAACAACTTCATCTTCAACAGGCAAATGGGAAAAGAGTGACCTAACTCGTGAGGTTAAAAATATGCCAGCTGTTTGAAGCTAATTTTATGGGAAGAAAATGAGATGGAAGAAATCTGCAAGTCAACTTTAGAAGAGAATATAACCTCCTGTGAAGCCTAAAGTTAGGCACAACCAATTGTTCATATATTGGATTTGTATTGAAATTCGTATGTAACAAAAACTTACTTGTGAAGTCTGTGTTATTTCGAGATTAAAGAAAAATAATGGTATTACAGAGAGCTACGACCGTGATATTTAGAAATGACCGCGATGACTGAAGAGAAAGACAAATGCGTCCGAGAATAGCAATTCATGTGGATATAAATTAGGTTAGTAAATCAAAGCTATTGGACGAGTGTTCTTTAAGCAATGCAACCATAAAAATATAATTTTACTCACTATAACATTCTACAGAGAACAACAAAATAACGACGCTTAGCCAATCGACCTGTTGTTTAACAGAAATATTTTCCAGCACAGAGGAGGCAGTTGATTTATTGTAAAATCATTGAATAGATCAAGGAGCAGATTTTAAACCTCCTCCTACACACCAACATGTTGCTGTGAGTTAATTTACCAATCTCCATATTAACTAGGTGTTGGGAGATGCTTTTGAGATGGGAAATCACCTCTGGCTCTGGCTTTTGACAGGAGAGATTCCAATTCGTTTTGCTTTTCCAGCGGGGAAACCTGGTTACAAGAAGACTGAGCTACTTACATTTTCATATTGTATTATTATCATTACTGAATACACTATTTTAAACTTTCCAGACTGTAGCAAAAATTAATAACTGGAGACACAGCAACCTGGAGATGAGTTTAGATCAGTTCATGTCTCTGAAATGTAATTCTTCTGTATTGGTTAGTACTTCTGTGGTTGCATCTAATGAAGAAAACCCTAGGTAACCTAATCCAAAAGAGGAATTGATTAGAATTGTGACTTACCTTGGTGGCTCTACCTTTGGCTCAGGGTGTGATCTTGGAGTCCTGGAATCGAGTCCGGCATTGGGATCCTCGCAGGGAGCCTGCTTTTCCCTCTACTTCTGTCTCTGCCTCTCTGTGTGTCTCTCATGAATAAATAAATAAAATCTTTTAAAAAAAGAAATCATGAGCTACGGGAACTACTTGTGGCACAAATATGGACCTTTATTTTCCAGTTAAGCCCTCAGGCCACTCCTGCCCCCATTAGTTAGGAAATCCAGTATCTCTCCCAGAACGAATTCTCTGCTCTGTAAACTGAGCTTTCTCCATCCAAAGGGGTCAGACCTGTTCCCAAATGCCAAGTAGAGGGAAAGTTGAGGAGTCTGGTCCATCTTGCGTCATCACCCCAGTGTCACAACTGAAAAATGACAGCTTAGGTCAGTTGCCCCTCTGACAACCTTTGTCCCCTTGTGCCACCATTGGTGAGTCAGCTCCCTCTGCACGTAGCAACATGCCTCCAAATTTGGGTCCTCTAGGTGAGACACTTATTTTTAAGTAATGCTCAACCATTGCTCCCAGGAAAAGCCACATAATGGAATATATAGGTCTAGGGAAGCATCTGGCCTCAGCTTCTGTTATGCCAGCATATTGCGTTTTATGAACTCAAGGCATCGGAACTGTTCCCTGGGCAATAGTACAGACCCTCCCTTCCATCTTGGTGACTTCTATTTGGTGGTCTTTGGCATCTTTTCTGCCAATAGGCCTCATGTGCAACCATTAAAATCCATCAAAAAGGTTTTAGTTACTCAAAAGGCAAGGAACTGCAATCTCAATCTCAATCTCTTTCTTCCGTGGGGCACCTGGCCTCCTCGGCCTGCTTCTGGCCAATTCTTAGTTCTGCCATCTAGGAAGAGGTCTCTTGATTGGACCACGGGATATTTAATCTTTTTTTCCCAGGGCCTTAGATGTCTTGTCATCTTACAGTTTCATAGTTAAGATGCAGTAGTCAGTGTTTTGGAAAAAATGAGAAAAAAATCTACACCAAGTGACTATGTCTCACTAGACAAAGGAGTCATGGCTGGCAGCTTCTCTTATTTAGAAACAAACCAACAGACAAATATGAGTGTGTTTCGTGTTTCTGTCTTTCCAGATACTCTTCTACCAAAGGGAAAGAGCATTGGTTTCTGGGGCCTAGAGTCAGAGATGCAGCCAGGCCTCTAGTATGCCGGGAACCAGGCACTTATATGACATCAAAATGCTCTTTGCATTTTCCCCACCCTCTCTGCAGACCAGGTTTTTCTGTTTGTTTTTTTATTCTGTTCATTCTAGGAGACATGGCTACTGCCTTATGATTTTTTATATTTCTGGTTAAAAGATGAATCCCACCTTAGTCCCAGTAAGGAATTGTGATTAGTCCAAATTTGGTCAATTGCTCATCATTGTGGTCAAAGAGTCAAAGACACAGAGCATTAAATGGTTGCCAGTCATTAACATTTTAATTAAAGGACAGATTCAGTCCCTAGGGCTGTCACGTTCAACTGTTCAGGTGGTACACTACACAAGAACATCACATAAAAACACCATGCACATCATAAATATCTTTTTTTATATTGTAACAATGTCAGTTTTGTTATTATAACTGTTGACTTCAAAGATGGGCTATTCTCATATTTATATTAACAACTTTTTGATGGTGATAGAGTCTTGCTCTACAAAAAATAAATATATTATGACAATTTTATGATCAATGGGAATAAAATGTGTTATCCTAAAACACAGTATATATTATATAATTATGTATACATATAATGTCATGCCCCATTAATTTGTGAAAGAGGAAAAGTTTAATAATTAAAAGATCTTATTGGTCTGACCAAATCTAAAATATGCTTTGATGTGAAATTAGATGCTGATGTTTTTACAGCTGATATATTTAATGATCATAATATCTAATTTTAAAAATTCTCTATTAATACCGGTACATTGCTAAATTTGGCACTCTATATTTTAGTTCATTTAATTTGCCATTTACTTATTGTACCAGATAATATTACTGAGTTCTTGATTTAAATGTGAAATATTTCCATTATATGAGTCATTATATAATCAGCAGTATTGATGTGTCATTAATAATCTCCAAAGTAAATATTTCATACATACAAATTAGGGATTAGCATGTAATAAGCGGCAAAATAAATAAGAGGTATTGATTATTTGCTGTTATGAAAAATTCACGAGCACAGAGGTTAATTCTTACAAAGTTTTGCAGCTTATTACATAAATATATTTGAAATTATTTTAAATGATAAAATGCCAAACTATTATTAGATATTCAAGAAAGGTTTTTTTTTTTTAATGGTGGCAATCAAAAACCAGCTATTATAAAAGAACGCTATTATAATCCTCAAATAAAATTTTGGGGAAAATAGAGAAAAAGTTAGAAAAAAATGAAAAGTGCTTCCGAGTTCCTAAAGTGAGCAGAATGTGGCCACGGTTAGGGTCCAGATGAAGCATGGGTAAATTTATTGTATGTCTCCATGAAAGCCATTACTATAGAATGTCAAGAAAAAATAAGAATAGAAAATCACAAAGAGGGGCACCTGGATGGCTCAGTCGGTTAAGCATCTGCCTTCAGCTCAGGTTATGATCCCAGGGTCCTGGGATTGAGCCCCGCATTGGGCTTCCTGCTCAGCGGGGAGCCTGCTTCTCCCTCTCCCTCTCCCTCTACCGGCTGCTCGCCCTGCTTGTGCTCTCTCTTTCTCTGTCAAATAAATAAATAAAATCTTGAAAAAAAAAAAAAGAAAATCACAAAGAATATATTACACCAGGCATACTGTCTGCTGAACTAGGTACATAGCCTAGCTAAGTAAGAAATTTAGTTTTCCAAAACATAGTACTAATAAGATGTTTTCAGAAATTTATTACACATGAATTTTTCGAAATGGTAAAAAACCCATTGCATTCTGTTTAGCTTATTATCTCTGATGATTATGTAATTTCTTTTTATATTAGGAACTCTTGGGGGATAGGAAAACCAACTAAAGATTGAGGATGATTGTGCAGTTATTGGCAGCGTTTACAGCATTTTTCTAAGCACAAAGTAAAATTTTCACCAAAAATAGTAGTGTTTTTAAACTGAAATCACCTTTATGGATACAATTAGCAACGGCATGGTGGAGACATTATATATTAATGAATAAAACTATCGATGTGTTGTTTTGAATTCATAAAACATGATCCAGATTTTGGCAAGGTGCTCCCACCATCCAGAAAATCATTCAAGAAACTTTATGTGCACTATAATGGGGATTTTCATTTAGCAAATACCAAAGCCAAAATTTCAAAGCATTATGGCAGAGCTTTTATGCACAATACAGATACTGACAATAAATAATAGTGCACGTGGGGTGCCTGGGTGGCTCAGTCAAATGGCTGACCTTTGGTTTCAGCTCAGGTCATGATTTCAGGGTTGTGAGATCGAGCCTCACATAGGGCTCCACAGTAAGCACAGAGTCTGCTTTAGGTTCTCTCTCCTTCTCCCTCTACCCCTCCTCTCACTCATCCTGTCTCCCTCTAAAATAAATAAATGCAATCTTAAAAAAATAAAAGCGCACATTATTTAGAAGATGAAATATAAAAACAGATTCTGGAGAAGGATATATAATACATATATATACACACTATATTTATATATACACATACACACATATATACATATATATATAAAGAAAAATAGATAAACAAACACATTTAAAACACCAGATTAAAGAAAATAAATCTTAGCCAAAAAAACTTTAGAAGCCTAAGATTCTAAATTCTTAATTTAAAAACATGGAAAACATAATGATTTGCTACAAAAGATCCTTGAAAAAACTTCTGAGCATTCTAAATGTTTTGTTCTGTAATAGAAAATGAAGCAGAAACCATTTTACTATGACTAGGGTTATTTTTTTTTAACATTATCCAAGGACTGTGTAATTTCTACTCTTTGGCTTTGATAAAATATTGGAATATTTTGAAAACACATTTAACAAACACAAATTTGAAACCATTGCAGAATCCACAATGAGAAATTCAAGTCATTTCCACTAGGCCATTAAAACTCAATTAGATGCAGTGTGTGCTCTTATAGAAACTGGTGGTGATATTAATAAAGATGTAAATTATAGAACCTCAAGTTTTTCTTTTTTGATGTTTATTTTCCAAGTAACATCTTGGCTCAGTGTTTTAAGTAAAATAATGCATAAACCAAAATTCAATATGTAGAATATCCTTAAAAGAGTCAGGATGATTTAGAATTTTTTGAAAAATTAGAAGTGATAGTATTTACAAAGTGTTTATCATTGATGCCAGAAACAATGGTGAGCATTACACTGATGCCAATTTTTCCAAAACAGAGAAATGAAGACTATTTTGACCTCAAACCCCATTATCAATTGGTTCATGATTTAAAACAAAATTTCAAAATCAATTTCTTTTTCAGAATTTTGTACATAACAATATCATTTTGTAAAAAAGATATGACCATAAAAATCTTCATGCCTCTTTATATTCTTATGACATTTAATTTGAAGAATTATGATGAAACTAATCAAGGAAAAATAACACTCAGAACAAGTGCTCTGCTGTGGTTTCTGCCTGACAGGACGGTAAAAATCTGATCAAACACAAAAGGATTAGGTCTGTAGGAAGAGGTCTTTGGATTAATCATCAAAGAATAACTCTGAGACAATGTGTTTAACACACTCTGGATGTATTCATATAGAAGGAAGCCCTAGAACTGGAACAGAACTCATGAGAGCAAAAGCCACAAGATTTCACTAGGAAAAGTGTTTGGTTAGTTTAAATAAAACCTTGGCATGTGAGTTCAGAATTTGTGGGTTGTAGTGGAGTTGGTGTAGGCCAATTGTTGAACCTCAAATCCCTTTGTATATTTTTTAAGAACAATGCCACAAGAAAGACTGTTAAATCTAGTAACCATTTCTGTACAGAAATAGCACAAGGGAGCACTGAAATAGTCATAGTTTTGTTTCCTATGAAAGTAAGACATATAATTATTTTATAGTAAATTACATTATATCTTATGACTCTATGTCCCTAATTATTATCATTCAAATTTTAATTTTCTATAATTTTATGCTTACTACTTTGATTTGTATAATTTATACTAAAGT